CAAGGTATTGACAATATTCTTGTGTATCATTAGAGTGAATTTCACCTGCTTGGCTAAACTCATTCCAAACAAAATTTTGCTTCCACAAAATTAGTTTTTTCAGAAAGACAGAAATGACTGTTTTTGTAGAGATCAAATTGAGCTCGTCGCCTTGAAATTGTAAATTAATGCAATTAAATTTTACGAATAAATCCGCCAAAGTCTTTCCTAAATTCTAGCAGTCTCTTTCTCAGAGCTACATCTCTGTTGTAGAGGAACTCATAAGCACAGAATCGAAAAGATTCCAAACCCTATTGAGACAGGCTCCTTTGGAAAGCCAGCGAATCTTGGTGTGTAGTACCAAAGCGATTGAATTCTTCATCATACGCCAGTCTGAATAATCAATCGTTGAGAGCATTACTGTGAATTTTGTTCACAGCAAATATGACATATTGCAGTAACTGATGCAAACGGTTGCTGAGATTTTTTCCTATTAAATGCTATCTGTAAATCACTCAATGAACAGCTGAAATATCTGGTATTACCATTTTCAAAAGGGCGATAAACCCACGATGTTGACCCCCCATTGCAGGAGTTCCATCAGTGGCAATTGACATAATATTCGCAAGAGGAATGTTTTTCATCTGTAAAATAATCTTGGACAGTATTAAAAATAGATTTACCTTTGGTATCTACAATCAAGCTTTTTGTAAAAAGCATCTAGAGAATACTTTTTCCTATCTTTACAAACCGTACCTACGCCTACAGTAAAACCTACATTGCATGGTAACGTTGATTCATCAACTTGAAGGGAAAATTCGCTGGATATCAAAGGTTTGCATAAAGAAACTTCAACGTCTTCAGCCATCTCATAATTTCGTTCCCGCACTGTATCGTTGNGCTCTTACATAAATTAAATAAACTTAAACTACCAGAGTTATATAATATTGCTAAAGAACTAAAAATACAATACATTACGAGATATAAAAAACAAAGCTGATAGAACAGATCATCAGACAATATGAAAAATGTAAAAAAGAAGAAAATAAATGATTTATTCCCTTTTGATGAAAGCATAATAGTTCCTCAAAAGAAAAAGAGAGTCAAACAAATAAAATGTGAAATTTGTGGTAAGTACATTAAATAAACCAAGCTACAGCTTCATAAAGCTAAACATAATCCTGAACCTGATTTTATTTTAGTTGAAGTTGCTTTTACAGGTAGATTATCAACATAATAATATCATGGGCGATTTAGACATTCCAAGCTATATGGTTTCAATTAAAGATAAAGCAAATAATCTTATTAGAAATGCTTTAGATATGCATAAGAATATTAAAATTAATTTAGAGTTGGAATGTGATTTTAAAAATTTAGAACAAGAAATGACACACAAGTTTTAATTACCTAATGTAATAATAAGAGAAGAAAATGAATGAATTAACAGCGAAGTCGTTGGGACTGTAATTACTGGGACAATCAGCAAGATGTATTTATAGCCAGATGTGATGAATTGGAAGTCAAAGGATCCGGTTGGGCTCTAAACAGAATAGATAATTTAAGAATTAAGTGTTTTCGATATTCAGTTTTAGGTGCGTAAAAACACCAAAAAAGGATCCACAAAGATGGTCGCAGTATCTCAAGCCGGAATACAAAGATTTATTAAGTCTTAAAGGAATTGACTTTCCAGTTAAAATTCAAGATATTCCTAAATTTGAAACACAGAATAAAATTAATACCACAGTATTCAGTTTTGAAGACACTACATTCTATCCGTTATCGTTTATTTTGAAAATTATTATTGTTGGATTAAAAGTTTAAGTCGATTGTTGAATAATATTGTTAAATTTAAAGATTTTATGACAATTAAGAACACTTAGGGACATTAATTTTAATTATTTGTCAAAGTTTGATCTGTGCACGATTTGGCTTTCTTTAAAATATTTTCATCAAATGTTACATGGAAGCAATTTTGATTTTTACGAAAATAATCAGCTTGTAATATTTTCTTTAGTTCCCATTACTAAGAGATGACCTAAACTGTGATTCAAAAACGATTTCACTAAAAACTAAGATAAACTACTGTTAAATTGGCTCGTTGCTGGGTTGTTATAAAAATAAAAAAATACTAATGATGATGAGAATTTGAGAGATAAATTGGGGCCGAAACGAATCTGTATAGGTTTGCACAAAACATCATGCCGCAAATGTTCATACTTATCCTGAAGAAATACACTTCATAAAAGACATACCTCTTGCTCTCCTTGGAAGTTGTCCTCCTTTTTTTTAGGCTGCAAGGAAAAAAAGACATCTAGTCCACTATAAGAATGAGCGAGTCCATGTTATGGGCACTAACATTTTTTTATTTTATGTAGATCACTGACAGAACACAACGTCACACTATTCAACAGGAATCATATAGCACATCAACAGCCGGAAATGAGAGAATTTGTTTTCTTTAAAACACAACAGTGGTACAATGGTGGGGATCTGGAGCGGTGGGCAAGGCACAAAAATCGAAGACACCACGAAATGCATCGATGTTATCTCGGAATACTTCCATTTTTTTTTGCGTGTTGACTATAGCAAAAAGACATAAATTGACTTTTCAAGAAGAGATGTTTACTTCAATAAAAATTATGCACGATGAAGATCGCCACTAATGTCAGCGGAAACACCCACGAGGGGGTGGAAGAAAAACTGTGGAACATCTCCGTCTCTCAAGGAGAGGAGGGGGTGAAAATTAAAAATCCCTGTTAAAGGATCGTAGATTCTTTTGAAGGATCAAATATCAAATGCTACCCGCTCAAAAAAATGGGCGGTATTTATATAAAAGGCCAGAAGTGGAAGTTAAACTCCCTAAAAAATGACACTAAAATTGCTTAAGGAGAGAACTGAAGTGAGTTGACTAACCCCTTAAATTTAAGCATAATTAAACACTAACGGCGACCGTACAGTAACTAAAAACATGTGTTGACATCAAAGACTGCCGAAGGTCAACGGCGTGAAGGTCGGCAGACCGTGAGGCGTCACAGTAGAGGGTTCAGGGGTGTCGGCCTAATTTCTAGGTCACAATCCCAACAGAAAAATTAAGATTTGGTGACTCAATGTCACAACTACAAACTAAATTACCTTTCAAAACTAAGATTCAAAAACGTAGATAACAAATCAAAAAAACCGCATGCGATTTCTTCACAATAGTAAACATTAGCTCTGTTGCCAGATGCCGTCAACTGAATTTGCTTTAAAAAAAATTCGTCTGTGTTCGATAGCCGAGTGAAACGTTTTCTCACCGATCTATATTTAGGGAGCGTTCTCACTTTCAATCAGATTCTTAAAGGCAGATGCGTTTCCGAGTGTGTTTCAGCTACTGCGTCGTTGCATTGATTTTCTCCCTTGTTCGAGCACGTGCCGAGAAGATGCAGGAATTTGATTCCTGCTCTAAAAAATTTGTTCGGGTACAGATTCAGATCTGCAAATTCGGTGGCTCTGTTGTAAAAAATGTGAAATAAAATAGAATTATTTTTTTTTAATTAAATCTAGGAAAATCGGAAGATGAAAATAAAAAACCGGAAAGCGGAAGTTTCGATAAAAAAAACAGAAATCTTCCGTCTAAACCGGAAGACTAGGCAGCTATGTATTTCATCTTTACTACATTTGCCCGCACCTTCAATCTTTTTTTGATTTTGCCTAACATGAATTCCATAAATATAAAGCCAACTTTAACCTAGATAAAAACTTCTGGTTCCTACACCTTAGATTTTAAAATCCCGAGAAAGATTCACTGTTTGTATTCAACTTAAACTTGCTTTATATTACCTTTACGTTACCCCGCATAAGTAATTGTTTTCAAAATCTCGATAATTTCTTTATACTTTTGGAACTTAATAAATACTTCTTTTTAAGAAAAAAAAACCCATTTCTGGCCTTAACCACTACCTCTTCAACAACCATAAGCGTTAACTGCAGCACAACACAACGTCCGCTTGGCGGCAGTGTTGCCAGATTGGGCTACTTTTAAAAGTCCCCGCTTCTGAAAATCAAATTTGGGCTACCCGCTACTTCTTGGGCTACTCATTATTTTTCAAGCTACAAATCTTAAAAATAAGCTACTTTCTTACAGAATTTTATGCTATTTTTCTTACAGAAATACTTTTTTAAAAGCTTTTTCCTTTTCTATTATAAAATGATTCTGAAAAGTCTGCAGTTTCTTTATCTTTTTTGAAAAAGAATATTTTTATGTCTTCCTGAAAACTCATCAGCTTTAGTTTTGGATTCTTTATTTGTTTTGATGCGCGGAGTCTAGAATCTCTCCATATGTATGCTTCAAAACATAGACTCGTGAAATCTCAAAGATATATATGGAAAAATGCACGGCGAGTATGAATCGAAAAAAAGGTTTAACCCTGACCATTATTAATCGTTTATCTTCTGACGACACGTTTAATCTGAGTTAAAACAAAATATTGAATTTGACGGCATTTTTAACGCAATGCATTGAAATTTAACTTTTCTTTTTAATTTAGTATATATATATATATAAATATATTAGCCATTTGAAATTTGGCAGATGCAAGTATTTATCGAATTTGATGAGAATGAGAATAAAAAATCGTGAGCATTTCTTTCTCTTCTGATGCTTCAGAAAGGCATCTTTTGAATAATTCAGCAGGAAAAATTACTTTCTAAAATTTTGAAGTTTTAAAGAAATTAATGGAGATTAATTTAAGGAAAAAATTTTGAAGAATTTTTTTTTTTAAGTACTTAAATATTATTTCATTTTATTAAAGTTAATCCATGTGACAGTCAAGCCAAATGGAAACACTATTCAGCTTTTCATGTCAAGTTAAAATATAAATAAAGTGTTTAGAGCTGGCATTTGCATTTCAGGTATTTCAGTGAACAAAAGATAAGAATAATAAAAAGATGTATATAGCAGACAAAGTCTTATCATATTAAGTTATTTACCTCTTCATTAGTAATGAAAAAAAATCCTATCTTCACTAAATAATCTTAGATTACAAAATATTCAAAACTTACATGATGAAAGCTATAACAATACATGTCTTATTACCATTAGAAGATCTTGAAATGGTCATTTTCACTTCTGTTACTGACGATTCACTGGCAGAAGATCTTTTTTTGGATCTCGTTTGTGGTACAGATGAATCAGAAGGAACAGTAGAGGGACCAGCTGAGGGTAGTGGCGGGCCATTCATATCTATAAGGTCATCCCATTCACCAGCATTCAATATTTCTCTTAGCAACCTAAACTTTTCACCACTGAAGCATAATTTTCCCTCCAACTCAGCTTGCTTTTCAGCCAATCTTCTCTCCTTTAAATAAGAAAAAAATATAGATTCATTAGTTGATAAATGACAATTAAACTCAATATACATATATATTGTGAGGACCTGTGGAAAAAGAAATTTCAAATAAAAATAAAATTAACTTAAATTTGACCATCAAGAACACACAGAAAAAAACAAATAAAATTTGAATATTAAAACTTTATTTAATTAATGCAATGTAAAAACACACATGAACTTAAGCATAACACAAAAGATTTATTGATCTATTAAAGAAACATACAGTATTATGTTTGCTTTCAAGTCAGTTTCATTAAAAAACTTCTTTTAAATAATTTCTTGCACACATTTCTAACTTCCTAGTGCATAATTGTTTGTGATAATTTCTTTTGTTATGATCTGGTATGGAATAATTTTATGACAGTGATTACTGGCTCTTTAAACAACCCTAAATTGCATAAACTTACTTTTTCTTACACAAAAAACGCTATCTGACAGTGAAAAAGTTTTTTCAATTGCACATTTTGTTTTTAAGGTTCACATAACACATAAACTGATTTTCATCAACTTCTGTCCGCTGAAACAAACAATTTGCTGGTCTAAAAAGGATAATTTAAACTACTCTGTATGATTAATAAGTCATGCCAAACATAGGAGTGTTATTAATATTCTCTAATATGTAAATAACTAATATGAAAACAATTGAATCAGTGTTTATTTAAGGGGATTATAAAAACTTTTTTAACTTTAGCGTTGAGATAGCAGTCATAATGGCAAGTTTCAAAAGCAATATAAACATTTCAAAACAATCCAATTATACATAAAAAATCTATTTTGGTAGGTGTATGATCTTACCATTATTCTCTTCATTTTATCTTTTTCATTAGCAAGTTTCTCTTGCATTTTAGCTCTATTTTCATGGTTTTCACTCCTGATCTCACGATTTTCGTGTCTTAGTTGAGAAATCATTTCATCTTTTTCACCCAACTGTGACATAGCAGAAAGGGGGAAAAAAGCATATATAACATGACAATTTATTGAAACACTTATACATAATAAAAAAATAAAAACTATGCTTTGTTTCAAATTTAGTTTGATTTGAAAACACTCCTTAAATAAGAAACATGCTAAAACATTTATTTGAAGGATATAAAGAAATTAATGAAAAAAATTTTTTTATGCATTTTAAACACAATTTTTTCTAGTTTTTATACATATATAGAAAAATGCACAATAGAAAATTTTATGATAATATACTTATTTTCTAATAATTAGCAATTTCAATTTAATACCCTAAACCAACTGAATTTTTTCAATGTCTGAAAAGATTCTTACACTAGGATGTTTTTTCTTCAGCGAAAAACAAATATTCAACTCTCAAAAATATTCAACCAGAAAAGAAAAAACTTGTCAGCAAACTAGCCAAAATGCAAAACACTGAGTCATTTAAACTAACTAAATAAATACTTTCAATTCATTTAAAAATTACTTATATTTTTAACCTAGTTCTTGTTCTATTATTTGTTCCCATTATTTTTTTTCCCTTTTCAATTAAATAAATTTTGTTTTAAAATGCATTGATCTAATGAAAAACTTTCTATAACTAATTTTTTTAAACAAAACAAAGCTAATTTTATTAGTTTTTCTTTTATCTTTTATGCACCAAAAAATAGAGTAAATATTGTAGAAAAAACAAAGAAATTTTGTCAACTGAATTACATCTAGTTTTACATAGATTTCCTTCAAATAAAAATGTTTAAAATAGATTTTTGTAAAAAAAATTGTTCAGAGCATAGTTAAAAAATCAAAGTTACAACATATTATTCCAGGAATTATTATGAATTTTGAAACTCTAAAGAAGCTCTACTTCAGAAAAAGAAATCATAAAATAATAAGAAAAAAAAGTTACAGAGAAAAAATTTTTTTAAAGAAAAGTAAGAGAAGAATTTGCATCATAATATTATTACCCGATGTTTCACTTCCGTCATTTGTCGTTCTAAATTATTGACCTGATCTCCAGATAGAACTAATTCTCTCTCCATGAAGTGTACCTGTTCATTTCTTGCTTTCAAATCTTTTTCCAGAAGAGCGACACTCTATTAAGATCATCATAAATATAATTCATTACATCTAATTTACGTTATTCTGATTAAAAACAATTAATGAAATCAATAGTGGATTACAACAATATATTATAGACAAGATTTATAAATTTATTTTTTAGTTTCATTGATAATATTAATGCTTTACCAATTCCATATACATGTTTTAGAAAAAAGTAGGCAAAAGTAGCTTTTAGTGTCAAATTTGTGCACAAACATTTAAAATATTTCATAAAATACATAAAAGACAAGCACAGTTAAAAACAAAATTAATTTGAGCTGCACTGATTATTAGAAGTAGTACTTAGGTTGTGTTGCACTAGAGGTGTGTGATAGGATATTGGAGATTGCATGGAAAAAATTTCTGAGGAAGATCCGAAGATTGCAGTTTATTATAAACCCTGGCGGTTATTAGGTTGATTGCACCAATGGTTTATTTTGGCATTATTAGATAATCAGAATACATACATATATATATATATAAAA